CCCTGCACTGAGAAGCTCCTAGACCAGGGAAAGATTAATGACAAGGACCTTCCCCCACAGCCCACAGACAGAGAAAGCATTCTCCCGGAGCTGGCACTCTGAATTCAGATTTCTAGCCCCCTAGACTGTGAGATAATACATTTCTGTTTGTTGAAGCCATCCACTTGTGGTATTTCTGTTATAGCAGCACTAGGTAACTGAGACAGACTCTGATGAATCTCCTACCGCTTCTCCTAAGCACTTTAGCTACAGCAACAGTGACTTCATCAGGCTTTTGTAGAATCTGTTTTCCTTACCTGGTAAGCTGAGCTGGGTCAAAGTACAGAATTTAATGGAGGTTTGAGGATGGAAGAGAATATTGATTGGGACTTGATGTGAAACTGCTCTTACTTTGACTCATGCCAAGAGGAGGTAAAGAAGTCAAGAAAAGGAGAAACCTGCAATGAGGCTGCAGGTAGGAGGACAAACCCAAAAACCCATTGCTATCTAGTTGATTCCGACTCATAGCAACCCTAAAGGACAGGTTAAAACGGCCCTATAGGGTTTCCAAGGCTGTAAATCTTTATGGAAGCCGACTGCCACATCTTTCTCCCATGGAGGGGCTGGTGGGGAGGTCCTATGGAGACACACCTGAATTTCTGTGGTATTGGCAGCCCATGAGGAGTGAAATGTTTGTTGGGTTGGAGGATTTTGGAACTGTGAGTTCACTGCCCTGTCCTTGTATGCTTCTAGTGACCTCAGCACCCTAGAACAACTTGGGGTGATACCATACTTTTAGCTGCCCAGGAAGCCACATCACCAGTGCCCATTGTCCAGGTTATGAGCTTTGAGGTGTTTGCTGTGCCAGCCCTGGCCACTCTCCCCTTACTGCAGAGCCAGGGAGTTGTTCAATTATGGTCACATGGGCTTCTCCTTTTTTACCAGACAACCACTCGGAATCATTCAAGATTCAGTTCCTATGCTGTCTCCTGGAGGGACATCAAAACTTCCAGGCCCAGACAGTCGCACCATCATCTGTGTGTAAGCCTGTGTTAGCATTCACTAGAGAGTATTGTAATTTATCCATGCGTATTTACACTTCTATCTCTTTCACTAGATATTAAGACTCTCAAGGGCCATGTCTTAGTTACCTAGCGCTGTGGTAACAAAAATAACCACAAGTGGGTGGTTTTAAAGAACAGAAATTAATTTTCTCACAGTTCCAAAACCCAAAAAAACCAAACCCATTGCCATCGACTCGATTGCGACTCATAGCAACACTATAGGACAGAGCAGAACTGCCCCATAGAGTTTCCAAGGACCGGCTGGTGGATTTGAACAGCCGACCTTTTGGTTAGCAGCCATAGCTATTAACCCTGCACCACCAGGACTCCTCTCACAGTTCAGGAGGCTGGAAGTCCAAATTCAGGACGCTGGCACTAGGGGAAGGCTCTCCTCTCTCTCCTCTTGCATTGTTTGGTTCCTTGAGATCCATCTCCATGTGGCATCTATCTTTCCCCCATTTGTTCTTGCTTCCCTGTGTCTGATCTGCTCCTTTTTATCTCAAAAGTCATTAGGTTTAAGACACACCCTACACTGATAACGGCCTCATTGACATAATAAAGAAAACCCTATTCCCAAATGGAATTACATCCACGGGTATAACCCTTTTGCGGTCCTCTTCAATTCTGACTCATAGCGATGCTATAAGACAGAGAAGAACTGCTCCATAGGGTTTCCTAGGCTGTAATCTTTACGGAAACAGACTGTTACATCTTTCTCCCTTGGAGTGGCTAGTGGGTTCGAACTGGAGACCTTTCAGTTAGCAGCCAAGCACTTAACCACTGCGCCACCAGGACTCCCCTACCTGCTAAAATCAAAAAACCAAACTCACTGCGACTGAGTCGATTCTGACTCATAGCGACCCTAAAGGACAGAGTAGAACTGCCCCATAGGGTTTCCAAGGAGTGGCTAGTGGATTCGAACTACTGACTTTTTGGTTAGCAACCGAGCTCTTAACTACTGCGCCACCAGGGCTCCATATGTTACCTAGGAGTTAATAAATGTTCTTTGAGCTGAACCAGATATCTGCATCCTCCCTGCCAGGGCCTGTGAGGGTATCCAGAAGATGCTCAGAGCATGTCTGTTACATTAGATTCTAGGAGTGAGATGCTTCTCTGCAAGCCCTCTGCCTGCCCCCCTCCTCTGGCAGGCTTGGATTAACACTGAGAGCCAATAGCTTGTCACATAGCAACAATAGTAAAGAATGAGCCACTGCGGAACGGAGCAGACGCTTGCCTGCCGCAGAAAGCAGAGCTACTTTGAGATCCTTTAGGTAGAGTCACAGTCTGATAGGTCCACACATTGTGGCTATAGCTACCACACACGGCATCAGCTTCGGAGTACAAGGCCTGGAGAAAACGTTCTGTTGGCATAGCAGTCTCTTTTGCCATTCTTTGGAGCGCCCTCTTAGAATACAAAGGACCAGATTTTAGGTCAGAGTTTTTCTTACTTTGAAGTCAGTCAGATTTTTGCTTGCAGTATTACTAAGATCCATTAGTATTGCACTGAGTTACTGTGCAGATGTGCTAATTTATAGATAAGATGACCACATATTCCAAACAAAAAGCAGGACCCAGGTCTCAGCCCAAGGAGCTCTGGTGGCACAACAGTTAAGTGCTCAGCTGCTAACTGAGAGGTTGGTGGTTTGAATCCACACAGGGAAAGACCTGGCAATCTGTTCCCATAAAGATTACCGTCTAGAAAACCCTATGGAGCAGTTCTACTCTGTCACATAGGGTTGCTATGAGTCAAAATCAACTCGATGGCACCTAACAACAACAAAAGGATCAGCCCAATTTCCCAGCTTGGAACACATGGTCCTCTGGTCTGGCCGGGGTCCACTTTTCCAGTATCCTCTGCTGCCTAGGCACCCTCACTAGCATATGCTCCAGCCTTCAGAACAGTGTCCAGGCTCCCATGTGTCATGTGCTTCTGCTCACAAACTGTCCAGCTTTGTGTGCCTTGAGGGAACCTCGACCACTCTCTCTGGTAACTATCTCTATGAGTTTCTCCCCAACTAGATTGTGTGCCAAGAGGACAAGAACAGTGTCTTCTTTCATTCCAGCACAGTGTCAGACACAAAGAAAATGCTCAATAAAGGTCGGTCTGGTGTATAGAGTGCAAATTGCTAGGCTGCCTTAGGTTTTACTGGCTCAGTTCAGTGCTGATAGTGGGACACCATGCTTAACAATGTGGAAAGTTACAAGTTCTTGTGATTGTTTTTGTAGCTTGGGCGTTCTGTGTTTTAATATTACAAGAAAAATAGTGTGTGCATGTTTATGCACAGAATTTCCCTTTCCATTTATTCTTTCTTTCATTCATCCATCCATTAATTCATGCAATGATCACTCATTGGCTATGAATTTTGTGCCAGTTCCTGTACTAGGTGCCAGGGACTTGAGGAAGCCTAAGACTTGCTACCTGCTCTAAGGACCCAAAGGTTCAGTAGTAAGAGGTTCCAATACCTCAGTTTGGGGTCTAATGAAGGACATTTCACTTGCTTTAGACCTGCAGGTTTCCAGATTGTTAACAAATACAAACATTTATTTCCCTTCTGATGCAATTATGCAGAATCTGAGTCAAGATACGAAGATTCTAAGAGAGAGGGAGGTTGGCTGGCCACCCTGATTGACCTCACCATGTCCGTCTCAGGGCCAGAAAGTCCTTACTATAGCCGAATAGATGAGATTGGGGTGGTCAATGATATCCATTCATTTGTTCAAGAAGTTTGAGTTGAGTCCCTGCTATATGTCAGGTCCTGAGTTAAGGGCTGCAGAGGGAGAGACCTAGGTCTCAGCTGTCACAGGGAAAAGAAGACAAGGACCCAGGCAATTAAAACAGTGTGAAATGGGGTACGATTCAGAAGCACAGGGTGCTTGCCATAGGAGGGTGTAGGAGAAGCTATAACTAGGACTCAGGGTGATCAGGGAGGGTGTCTTAGTTACCTAGTGCTGCTGTAACATAAATACCACAAGTAGGTGGATTTAAAGAATGAAAATTTGTTTTCTCACAGTTTTGTAAGCTGAAAGTTCAGATTAGGGTGTTGGCCATGTTGATTCCTCTGCATTCCTTGGTTTCTCGGTGTTTCCTGGCTTGTGGACGATTCTTACATGGCGTTTGTCTTCTCCCATGCATGCCTGTCTCTGTAACCAGTCTGCTCGTTTTATAACTCAGAAGCAATTAGATTTAGAACCCAACCTACTTGGGTATGATCTAACAAACATAACAAAGAAAACCCTATTTCCAAACAGGATTACGTTCACAGGTACAGGAGTTAGGATTCCAACACATATTTTGCGGGGACACAATTTAATCCATAACAGAGGGCTTTACAGAAAAAGGAATGTCTGAGATTGGAAGGGTGACTGGGAATTAGGTAGGTTAAATGTGTGGGGGTGTGGGGGTGGTGAATGTTTCAGGCAGAAGGAATATATGTGTGAATGTGCCAAGGACAGGGAGAGCATAGCACAAGCAGAACAGAAATAATTCCACTTGAGAGAAATGAGATAGGTAGGCAGGGGCCATTTCCTGCGCAAGGGACTTTATCCTAACAGCAAAGACGAACCACTGAAGGTTAAAAAAAAAAAAAAAATCCTTTGGGGTTCTGATTTAAAACATCCCAACAATGTATCATGTAGAACGAAAGCTCCCCATAACACTCCTCTCCCCACATTAACACTTTGGGGCATATTCCATCACATTCTAATCCATCATTATTCGTTGTTGTTGTTAGGTGCTCTCAAGCTGGTTCCAACTCATAGCGACCTAATGTACAACAGAATGAAACACTGCCTAGTCCTGCGCCATCCTCACAATCGTTGTTATGCTTGAGCCCATTGTGGCAGCCACTGTGTCAACTCATCTTGTTGAGGGTCTTCCTCTTTTTCAATCTGAATTGAAAGATTCTATGGACAAAATATTGAATTATGGCAGGAAGCATCAAAAGAAGATGGAAGTCCCCGTTGTGGTGCTGGGGGTTAAGGTGCAACGTCAGAGCACATGCTCCAAAATAACTGGAGCCACCAATCCCCTGAGGTTGGCCCTTTTAACTGTGAGCAGCACAACGGCTAGTGGTCCAGGTAGGTTACCTGGGGTGTGAAGTTGCCCAGGGAGTTTGCGACTCAGGCCTCAACCCTTAAACCCACAGCTTAAATGTCCTACAGAAATGGGTGGAGATAGTAGGCTTTGCTACTTATTGTGCCTTGTGTGTGTGCCCCTGACATTCCTCTGCCCTCCTTTCTCTGTTGTTGTTAGGTGCCGTCAAGTTGGTTCCGACTTACAGTGACCCTATATACCACGGAACGAAAAACACTGCCCAGTCCTGCGTCATTTTCATTATCGTTGTTATGCTTGAGCCCATTATTGCAGCCACTGTGTCAGTCCATCTTGTTGAGGGTCTTCCTCTTTTTCGTTGACCCTCTACTTTACCAAACATGATGTACTTCTCCAGGGACTGATCCCTCCTGACAACATGTCCAAAGGACGTGAGATATAGTCTCGCCATCCTTGCTTCTAAGGAGAATTCTGGTCATACGTCTTCCAAGACAGATTTGTTCGTTTTTTTGGGAGTCCATGTTATAGTCAATATTCTTTGCCAACACCACAATTCAAAGGTTTCAGTTTTTCTTCAGTCTTCTTTATTCATTGTCCAGCTTTTACATGCACATGAGACGATGCAGAATACCATGACTTGAGTCAGGCACACGTTAGTCTTCAAGGTGACATCTTTGCTTTTCAACCCTTTAAAGAGGTCTTTTGAAGCAGATTTGCCCAATGCAATGCGTCTTTTGATTTCTTGACTGCTGCTTCCACGGGTGTTGATTGTGGATCCAAGTAAAATGAAATCCTTGACAACTTCAATCTTTTCTCCATTCATCATGATGTTGCTTATTGGTCCAATTGTGAGGCTTTTGTTTTCTTTATGTTGAAGCATAATCCATACTGAAGGCCGAGGTCTTTAATCTTCATCAGTAAGTGCTTCGAGTCCTCTTCAGTTTCAGCAACTAAGGCTGTGTCATCTGCATATCAGAAGTTGTTAATGAATCTTCCTCCAATCCTGATGGCCCATTCTTCTTCATATAGTCCAGCTTCTCGGATTATTTGCTCAGCGTACAGACTGAACAGGTATGGTGCAAGGATACAACTCTGACGTACACTTTTCCTGACTTTAAACCACGTAGTATCCCCTTGTTCTGTTCGAATGACTGCCTCTTGGTCTATGTACAGGTTCCACATGAGCACAATTACGTGTTCTGGAATTCCCATTCTTCCCAATATTATCCATAATTTGTTAGGATCCACACAGTTGAATGCCTTTGCATAGTCAGTAAAATGTAGGTAAACATCTTTCTGGTATTCTCTGCTTTCAGCCAGGATCCATCTGACATCAGCTATGGTATCCCTGGTTCCACATCCTCTTCTTAATCCAGCTTGAATTTCTGGCATTTCCTTGTTGATATACTGCTACAGCTGCTTTTGAATGATCTTCAGCAAAATTTTACTTGCATGTGTGTCATGGATTGAACTGTGTCCGCCAAAAAATGTGTGTAACAATTTGGCTAGGCCATGATTCCCAGAATTGTGTGGTTGTCCTCCATTTTGTGATTGTAATTTTATGTTAAAGAGGGTTAGAGTGGAATTGTAACACTACTCTTACTCAGGTCACATCCCTGATCCTATGTAAAGGGAGTTTTCCCGGGGTGTGGCCTGCACCAACTTTTATCTCTTGTAAGAGATAAAAGGAAAGGGAAGCAAGCAGACAATTGGGGACCTCATACCATCAAGAAAGCAGTGCCGGGAGCAGAGTGCGTCCTTTGGACCGGGGTCCCTGCACCGAGAAGCTCCTAGTCCGGGGGAACACTGATGAGAAGGCCGAGAGAGAGAGAAAGCCTTGCCCTGGAGCTGACACCCTGAATTTGGACTTTTAGCCTACTTTACTGTAAGGAAATAAACTTCTCTTTGTTAAAACCATCCACTTGTGGTATTTCTGTTATAGCAGCACTAGATGACTAAGACAATGTGATATTAATGATGTTGTTCGATAATTTCCGCATTGGGTTAAATCACCTTTCTTGGGAATAGGCATAAATATGGACTCCTCCAGTCGGTTGGCCAGGAAGCTGTCTTCCAGATTTCCTGGCATAGATGAGTGAGCACTTGCAATGCTGCAGCTGTTTGTTGAAACATCTCAGTTGATATTCCGTCAATTCTGGAGTCTTGTTTTTGCCAATGCCTTCAGTGCAGCTTGGACTTCTTACTTCAGTACCATTGGTTCCTGATCATATGCTACCTTTTGAAATAGTTGAACTTCATCCGATTCTTTTTGGTATACTGACTCTATGTATTCCTTCCATCTTCTTTTGATGCTTCCTGTGTCATTTAATATTTCCCCCATAGAATCCTTCACTTCTGTAACTTGAGGCTTGAATTTTTTCTTCAGTTCTTTCAGCTTGAGAAATGCCGAGCGTGTTCTTCCCTTTTGGTTTTCTATCTCCAGCTCTTTGCATATGTCATTATAATACTTTACTTTGTCTTCTTGAGTCACCCTTTGAAATCTTCTGTTCAGTTCTTTCACTTCATCATTTCTTCCTTTTGCTTTAGCTACTCAACGTTCAAGAGCAAGTTTCAGAGTCTCTTCTGACATCTATTTTCGTCTTTTCTTTCTTTCCTGTCTTTTTAATGACCTCTTGCTTTCTTCATGTATGATGTCCTTGATGTCAGTCCACAACTTGTCTGATCTTCAGTCATTAGTGTTCAACGCGTCAAATCTACTCTTGAGATGGTCTCTAAATTCAGGTGGGATATATTCAAGGTCGTCCTTGGGCTCTTGTGGACTTGTCCTAATTTTCTTCAGTTTCAACTTGAATTTGCATACAAGCAATTGATGCTCTGTTCTGAAGCTGGACCCTGGCCTTGTTCTGACTGATGATATTGAGTTTTTCCATCGACTCTTTTCCACAGATGTAGTCGATTTTATTCCTGTGTATTCCGTCTGCCAAGGTCCATGTGTATAGTCGCCGTTTATGTTGGTGAAAAAGGTATTTGCAATGAAGTCATTGGTCTTGCAAAATTCTATCATGCGATCTCCGGCATTGCTTCTATCACCAAGGCCATCTTTTCGAACTGCCGATCCTTCTTTGTTTGCAACTTTCACATTCCAATCACTGGTAATTATCAATGCATCTTGATTGCATGTTTGATCAATTTCAGACTGCAGAAGCTAGTAAAAATCTTCAATTTCTTCATCTTTGGCCTTAGTGGTTGGGGCATAAATTTGAACAACAGTCGTACTAACTGGTCTTTCTTGTAGGCGTATGGAGATTATCCTATCACTGACAGCGTTGTACTTCAGGATAGATCTTGAAATGTTCTTTTTGATGATGAATGCAACACCATTCCTCCTCAAGTTGTCATTCCCAGCATAGTAGACCATATGATTGTCCAATTCAAAATGGCCAATACTAGTCCATTTCAGTTCACTAATGCCTAGGATACTGATGCTTATGCAGTCCATTTCATTTTTGACAATTTCCAATTTTCCTAGATTCATACTTCGTACATTCCATATCCCAATTATTAATGGACATTTTCAGCTGTTTCTTCTCATTTTGAGTCGTGCCACAGCAGCAAGTTAAGGTCCCGAAAGCTTGACTCTATCCACATCATTAAGGTCGACTCTACTTTGAGGAGGCAGCTTTTTCCCAGTCGTCTTTTGAGTGCCTTCCAACCTGGGGGGCCTATATACAGGCACTATATCAGACAATGTTCCACTGCTATTCATAAGGTTTTCACTGTTTAATTCTTATCAGATGTAGACTGCTGAGTCCTTCTTCCTAGTGTGTCTTAGTTTGGAAGCTGAGCTGAAATCTCTCTGCCATGGATGACCCTGCTGGTGTCTGAATATTGGTAGCATAGCTTCCAGCATCACAGCAACAGGCAAGCACACACAGTACAACAAACTGACAGACATGTGGGGGACCCCTTCTCTAGAGAAGCAAAACCAGTTAAGCGTATGTGTATACATAGATATAGTTATAGATATGCTGTTGTTAGGTGCCATCAAGTTTGTTCCGACTCATAGTGACCCTACGTACAACAGAACGAAACACTGCCCGGTCCTGCGTCATTTTCATTATCGTTGTTATGCTTGAGCCCATTGTTGCAGCCACTGTGTCAGTCTCTCTCGTTGAGGGTCTTCCTCTTTTTTGCTGACCCTCTACTTTACCATGCATGATGTCCTTCTCCAGGGACTGAGCCCTCCTGATAACATGTCCAAAGTACGTGAGACGAAGTTTCGCCATCCTTGCTTCTAAGGAGCTTTCTGGTTGTACTTCTTCCAAGACAGATTTGTTTTTTTGGCAGTCCACAGTATATTCAATATTCTTCACCAACACCATAATTCAAAGGCATCAATTCTTCTTCAGGTCTTCTTTCTTCATTGTCCAGCTTTCCCATGCATATGAGGAGACTGAAAACACCATGGATTGGGTCAGGCACACCTTAGTCTTCAAAGTGACATCTTTGCTTTTTAACATATATATATATATATATATATATATATATGTACATAGACAGAGAGAGAGAAAGAGATTTAGCTCAAAGAAATGACTCACGTAGTTGTAGAGGCCGGCAAGTCCCAAGTCCATGGGTCAGGCATCAGGCTGGAGGCTTCTCCTGACTCATGTACCTGCAGGGGCTGATGAACCCAAGATCAGCAGGCCAGATGGTAGGCCACTGGCTGCAGGGGTGCTAGGCGGATGAATCCCAAGATCATCAGGTAAGCTCCTAGCTCAAATCCTAAGATCTGGAGGTCAGATGATGATGAGCCAGATGCAGGATCCAGACTGACAGCCTTTCCAGAATATCCATTTATATGCTGGAGTCAGGTCACACCCCCAATAAAACTCCTTTTCAATTGATTGGCTGCTTATAGCAGATTGCATCATGGAGTTGATTACATCATTACATAGCTGTCAAATTGCATCATTACATAACTGCCAAACCACACTGGAGCTATAACCTCACTGTCTGTCTGGAGTCGTCATCCTTTAAAGGAGAAGAAAGC